TACAATCTATTAAAATAGTATGATGTTGACCGTTAAGTTCTCAAAATATAACATAACAGTTTAGGAAATGCTAGTTTCTTTTATAAAATTAATAAATACTTATAGATTATTATTGGCTTAAGAATATCATAATCTCTTACAAAAATTTTTGGATATTGTTGCACTATAACCTTTTAATTAAGTTGTTTATTTGGGGGGAGGGGGGGGGAGACATTAAGAAAGAAAGAGACAGAGGTACTGATTTCTAAGAAACAAATTCATTGCAAAAGAGGGTGAGAGAGGTGTTAGAGCGAGGGGAGTATTTAAAGTTGTGCTCGTTTATTAAATACATTCACTGTTGGATTAAAATAATTAATGACTTAAAATCATGATTCGTTTGTTTATTTAATTTAAAATAATTAATGACTTAAAATAATTCGTTTGTTTTAATTAACCTTATAATATTTTTTTTTACCAAATCTATAGGATGTATCGAATTATGTGTTTTTCATATTTTGTAAGTTTAGATTTTTATTTTAAAATATTTTTTGATATTATGTTAACAAGTTTTATTCATGTAGTATCAAAATTGAAATCAATTATTAATTTTTTTAATGATTGATATTTAACCTTAAATTGATAAATTTTAGAATAAAATATACATTTTAAATTTCAACATGTACCAGCTAACAAATTATCAAATAATTTTGTGAATACTGTTATATGTACTATATTTAAAATCGATTTTTAAATTGGTCCTAGTCCCTCATAACAATTTCTCTTGAAAGAAGAAATTTTATGGAAAATTTTTTAGTTAATTTTTACAACTTATTTTTCAAAAATTTTTATTTAAAATCTAAATATTATTAATTTAAATTTTTTTATTTAACTGTCATTCTTCCAAGGCTGGCCAACAAGGCACAAGTCAAGACGTGACGAACAAAGCGAGAACTCTTTAAGTTAAAAATCAAACTAATAACAGTAAGGAAATTTAAAATTTTATTTTGAAAATATAAATAATTAGAAAGAGCCAAACATAAAACCCCACAAAACAAATTTAAGAATGTGACATGCGAAAACGTCAACGCGTCTAATATGTGATGTAATTTTGTCACTTCTCTCAATTCACTTTCTACAATCTTATGAACAATATGTCAAAAAATGATATACCATTTTTTTCTTTTACCCAATATATATATATATATATATATATCTATATACCATTTTTTAATTTTTAATTGATTATACATGCTGTGAGTCTCTGCTCTACATGATATTTGAAATGAGTCACAAACTCACAAAATCCATAGTTTATAATTTATGAATATTGTAGTTTCTTGCAAGTTTTATAGTATATAAAAATATAGTATTGATTATTATAAATAGTTCAATTTCTTATGGATTTAATTTAATGAGTATTGATTTTGTGATTGTATAAAGGTTGGGGGTTGCTCGTGTGTCTTAGTCAAAAATTAATCAGTAGTTTACCCAAAAATTAAAAATGACTAAATACTCCCACCTATCTTTTTTCTTTTTTCTTTTTTCTTTTTAAATAGACTACCAATCTTTGTTATAGGATGTCTTTAAGAAAAAAAATTTTAATCCTTAATATAAGGCACATATTTTTTATAGTTCCTGTTATAAAATGTTACTAAATACTTTACTAAAACTAGGGAATGCCAATTAAATATTTAAATATATCTTGAAATGAATTGTTTTTCCAGCTATAACTTTATTAAAAATATAAAGAGAGGGATACACACTGTATAATGAGTCATAAAATTAAATTGGATTAAAAGATAAAAATATTTATAATTTTGTTTTTCTCTATTTCATTAAATTTGACAAACATATGTTAACATTGACCGTTAAGAAAAGAAAACATAAGATATAAAAATATCTAGAAATGTTTTTTAGAACCTTCTAATATTCTAAAGTCAATAAAAGTTTGGGTTTGACTCAAATTTTTTCAGGCTTATTTGAACAATTCAAATAAGCTCAAATTAAAAGATTTTTTATAAATTCACAAGTTTGTTCTTAAAATTTTTTGGGCTTATTCAAGGTTGCCCCATCAGATTTAACCTAATTATTGACTCCAACCTTTTGTAGTTCGTTAAAATAACTTAATGTTGATCATGAAATTCTAACAATAGAACTCAACTGGGGAAGTTTGGCTATTGTAAAATTAATGGGTGCTCATGCATCATTATTATTGACTTTATGATATCAGAAGCTTATAAAGAAAAAATTTGTAGATATTTTTGCATCTTATATTTGCTTCCTTTTTTTAATTGTCAACATTAAAGGACGTTAGTCAAATTTAATAGAGTGAAGATTATTGCACTCATTATAACAAGTTTATAAGTATTTTTGTACCTTGGTTTATTTTAGAATACTAGTTAATTTTAAAAAAAATTAATGGGCATTTTTGCCCTTTAATCTTATTAAATTTACAAGGGTAAATTTGAAAAAATTGGAAATAAATAACCTAATATATGCTTTATATTAAAGAGTAAAAAATTATTCTAAAAAATGCCCTATGATAATGACAGGAAGAAGTAACTGGTTATTAATTAATATTTTCAATTTTATTCCTAACAAATCACTAAGAAAATAATTTAATTCTAATTTAGTGTTTTTCCATGATTCCTCAAATGTTTTCTTACTCTCTCTTTAAAAGAAAATAAAGTTGGAATACTTTTTAATTTTTGACCAAATTAAATGAGTTAAATGCCCCACCCTTTTTTTTTAAAAAAAGTTCTCGGTAAGATGGTTAAATGGATTGAATTTGGAGCCAACTCTTTTTTTTTTTTTTGGTTTTTTGGGCAAGTATAATAAGTAGGTTGGTTCTGTTGATAACAAAAAAATATCTCCTCTAAATTTTGAAATTAATGGATAAAACTTCCATAATTAAATAAGATATTGAATTTAAAGTCAACTCTTTGAAAAGAAGAAATAACCAGTAAAGTCTACAACGGAAGGTGCATTTATTTGGCTTACCAATCTAGAGATCAACCACTAAGGTTTGAAAGTCAAAGTATTACACATATCCTTCTTAAAAGTTATTGATGCATTTATACTTCTTTACAATAAAAAAGAGAAGAAAAGAAAATAAATAATAATAAAATTTCTCTAAAATATATAAATAATAATTTAATCTCTTAAAATATTATAATTTTAATATATAAATTAGAATTTAGTATTGCATTATTGTGATTATAAAAAGAAAAGATGTGAATATTTAAATAAAATTTGTGAATTATTTATTTTTAACAAGGATAATTTAATAATTTATATAAATTTATCAATGATACAAAGTTTCGAGAGATTTCAGAAAAATTATAATATTTTGAGAGATCAAATTATCATTTATATGTTTTAAAAAAATTTTATTGTCATTTTTCTTAAAATAAATAAATTAATGCACATATAGATATAACAAAATAAAATTATTAATTTATTTTATTCTAAATTATAAGATAATTTTAAAAATTTAAAAAAATAAAAATTATATCCCAAAAAATAAAACAATATAAAAAAATATGATTTCATTAACAATATTTTTTTAATATTATCTTCAAGAAAATTGAAGTAATATTCATAGTGTGATAATTAAGTGTGTAAAAATATTTTTAAAAATTTTATAATTTTATTTTAAAAAAATAAATTTATACACTATTGTTGTTGTACTTTATTAATATGTGTATGTTTATACTCTCTACGTACCAAATTATAAAATATTTTTAAATAAAATTTTATATACTTATAAATTTAATTAAATATATTTAATAATCTATCTTTTTAAAATAAAAATATAAACTTTTAAAAATATTTATAATTTAATATATTAAAAAAATAAAAATTAATTATAAAAAAAATAATAATATTAAAATTAATGTATTTAATAAAATTTTAATTTGTTCAAAATATTTTATACTTTTAAAATAATTTTTTTTTAAATATCCTACAAGTTAAAACAAAAGAGTATTAAATTGTCATTTATCGTGAATATTATTAATTTCGTTGATGACATGGTCTGATAAGTTTTTCAACCAAAGTCTTATTTACATTTATTATGGAGAAAGAAAAGCATAGTCAAACTGAAGATGCAAAATCCGTGACCTTCTTCTTTTATTTTTTTATTTTTGGACCAACCGGACCTTCTTCTTTATCATCACTTCCCATAGCCTTCATTAATTTGCGTATCCGCTGAGTTCTTCAACAATAATTCTTTTCCCTTTTTTGATTTTCTGCTCACCCAAATCTTTTGTTTACTTTCCATTCCTCACTCAATCTTCTCTCTGCCTTGCATTCTTCAACTCGTTGGCATCTCTCATGGGGTCTCTTCGCTTCTTTGTCGTTTTCTCAAGGTAAAACTCTGATCTCTCGGAGGCCTTTTTTTTTTTAACAGTAAAGTGATGAAATGTTTTTGATCCAGGGAGATGATACCGAGGCTTGCTATATTCGAATTCTTATTGTTATGTTCTGGCGATTTGTGTTCACATTATTTTGTAGGTTGATCAGGGCTTTGTAGCTGATTACTCCAATGTATTGCTTTCACTACTTCACGAGGCGCGGGAGGCGGAGGTCATCGGAACCTGATCTTAAAGGAGAATTGAAGTCCCAAAACTCCGAGGTCAATAGAGTCACCAAATCTTCGGCTGCTTCAACCTCATCGCGTGGGATTCCAGAATTGTATGAAGAGAAGGCTCATAATTTGCGTGTTTTCTCCTTCGCTGAACTCCGACAAGCGACAAATAATTTCAGTAGGGTTTTGAAGATTGGTGAAGGAGGGTTTGGGAGTGTATACAAAGGTGAAATCCATGCCCATGGTGGGAATAAGAAGGAGTTTATTTCGGTTGCCATCAAAAGGCTTGACCCTGGTGCGTTCCAGGTATGACATTCAAGATCTAGAAAGCCTCTATGAAGTAGCTTGTTAGAGAATGCCGCTATGAGCACAACTTGTTTGAATTTTGTTTTCTCTCAATTGTTGAGTGAGATTGGGGGGGGGGGGGGAAGATAGAGGGAGGGCTCAGAGGATTTGGGTCCCTATAGTGTGAGGCCCTGTTATCTCCTTATCTCTATCATCTCTCTTTTCATTTGAACGACGAAAATTGGTATTAAGGACCGAACCCTGAAAACACATTGGAATCTCATGAATTTGCAGATGGTCTGCAATGCACGTTTAAGAACTAATCCTTTCTATTAAATAAGTTTGTATTTTGATATTTAATGCCAATTTGTAGTTTGAATAGTTGAGGGATCTAAAGTTGGTATTTTGTTGTCTTAGTGGTAGATCCCCACTTTATCTCATCTCTTCTCGCTTGAAATTGATCATGTGGGGCCCGCATGTCTTGTGGGACTTTAATATGCACAAAAGGGCTTGTTGGAGTTCACCAAATAGGTTATATATAATTGACAGCACATCGGTGGATATAAGTTTACCATCCTGAAATCTCAATTGCATTAAGTTTTTGTATACATTGTTTCATGTAAATTTTAGCTTGATGATCATTCACAATCTAGCGCTGATCATTCATCAACAATGATTGATATCATTCTTCAGAACGCCCTTTGATATAAGCCTTCATATGGATCTCAAAGAAACTGTTCTCTCGGGAATCTCTTTTGCTGTTAAATCTTCTGTCATCACTCTAAATTTAATAGCTCTTGCTTTTTCTGAGGTAGGTAAAGGCAGATATACATTGTCCATTGTGAATTAGGATTCTTCATGTGCTTCAACATTGCTCAATTATCTGAATTCCCAGATAGATATGTCCGGATTTTGTCCTGCTGTGTAGGGTCATAAGCAATGGTTAGCTGAAGTTCAGTTTCTCGGCATTGTGGAGCACCCAAATCTTGTGAAACTCATCGGATATTGTGCTGTGGATGCTGAAAGAGGGATTCAGAGACTGCTTGTATATGAATACATGCCGAATAAAAGCTTGGAATATCATCTTTTTAATAAGGTGTTCGATGCTCTTCCTTGGAAAACAAGACTTGAAATAGCACTTGGAGCAGCACAAGGGTTAGCTTATCTTCACGAAGAATTGGAAGTTCAGGTTCGTACTAGAGCTATACCATCATCATCATCATCATCATAAAGTAATAAAAAATCACAAAAAATAAATAAATAATTTTGTTCTATTTTCCCTTGTCTCTGTCTCATGATATCTCAGTCACTCGCTTGTGTTTCGGATGATATGAAGCTTTTGCCCCAATTTTTTTCTGCGGAACAAATTTTGCTTTTGTGATAGAGACAGAATCAAGAACTTGTGTGATTCGTTTGCAACTGAGGGAGGATCCAATTGAATCCAAAGAGAAAACTCAAGATAAATAAATATATGAAGAGTCTTACGTTTCAGAAAATACATGCACAGTTACATGAGTAAAGTAGCAGAACACTGTAAACAGCAAACCAGAAATAGAAAATACCCAGAAGATGGGTGCTAGACCTTCAGAAACTCGTATCAAATATTTGGGAGCTAAAGAAGTGTTTTTCAGAAAGGAAACGAGAAATGTGCTTATTCCTTTTTTTTTTCTTTCTAGATACATACATCGTTCATTTCTTTTTGAAAAATGCTTTTCTGTGTACTAAATATTTTATTAGTAACCCTCACCTGATTAAATCTTTGGACAGATTCTTACAAATTGCTTATTTCTTCTAGACTATCCTTAACCACATGGGGTCCCTCAGAATCCTAACTTTTTTATTGCCATTACAATAATTCACATGATAATAATATGAATGACACTGCTCTTCATATTTCTTGTTTCTTTTTATTCCAAGTTCTGGATATAAATAATCTTTTTAACATGTATGCATATTCTGCAGGTGATATATAGAGATTTTAAAACCTCAAATGTATTGCTGGACGAAAATTTTAGGCCAAAACTTTCTGATTTCGGACTTGCAAGGCAGGGGCCAATGGCTGGGCACACTCATGTTTCAACTGCTGTAAGTGTTATGTTCTTTATTTGCTTTGAGATGGAAAACTATGATTTGCGGTATAAATTTTGCGAGTTATTTATCATTAGATGATGCTAGACATTCTGGGACCCTAAGCACTAGTGAAATGGGGGGGAAAGATCGCAATATTCTTTGTCTGATGTATAATAATCCATGACCAACATTTGAGTATCAGGTAATGGGTACATATGGCTATGCTGCTCCGGATTACATTGAAACAGGCCATCTCACTACAAAGAGTGATGTGTGGAGCTTTGGCGTGGTTCTCTATGAAATTCTTACAGGGAGGCAATCGCTGGATCGAAACAGGCCAAAGGCGGAGCAGAAACTTTTGGAGTGGGTGAAACGGCATCCTGTTAATAGCAAAAGCTTTAGCTTGATAATTGATCCGAGACTTGAAGGAAACTATTCCATCAATAGAGCACGAGATATCGCCAAGCTTGCCGATGATTGCCTGAGTAAAAGCGCAAAAGAGCGACCAAGGATGAGTGAGGTGGTGGAGCGATTGAAGCAGATAATCATTGATTCAGATGAAGACAATCCTGATGAGAAAAATATTAAGCTGTTTGAAAATGATGAATTACTTGATCAAGAAGAAAACCCAAATCAGCCAAACCCTTCGAAGTTGTGGCAAAGGAGGATGGCCCATCTTGCAAAACTTGGTGAACATGTGGATACTGCAATTGGACGAAGATTTATGGTGCTACAAAGTACCAAAGCTGGTTCTTAGTTACATCAATACTATGAAACAACCACATGAATTGTTTCTATATGTGATGTGTATTATTAGATAATAATATATCAATTTTGAAAAAAAATCACCAAATTATGTATCAGCACTATGTATAGTACCATGCTCTATTAATAGTAATGGCTCTTGTACTGAGCCTGCTTTATCTGCAATTCTTTTTTTTTTTTTTGCAATATTCTGTAAGTTTTTAGGCCCATTTGTTTTAGCTAAACTTATTTTTTTATATTCTTTAAAAATTATATATTTTTAATATGTGTGTGTGTGTGTAAATTGTTTTAATTGCAATAATATAATTTTTAATTTAAAAGTGCATCTTGATATAGCCAAGACCTACTTAGACTAGATTTTTCAGAATAATGAAAGGTATGAATTTATTTCTGACTATTTTTAAAGCATTTTACAGACAACCTCAAATTTTCTTAAACTTGTGTGTTTTGAAAAAATAAATAAATAAATAAAAGATGATTCTTTTTATTTTTTTAAAAATGAAACAAAGATGTCATTGGGCCTGTGAACCCACATAGGACTGTATGGGCTTAACATCCTGATCAGGCCTGCTGTTTTTAAAAAGATACATAATTGACCCAAATTACTGTCCTGAACTATTTTCTAACCATTGAGAGATGTATTTACATTTATTTCCTGATAATATCTCTAATTATATCCAATAAAAGAATACATGTGCTTAGTTAATTTTTTTTTTAAAGACACATGATTTAGGTTGCAGGCATTGGACAATACCCCTCTAATAATATTTGTCGGACTCTGAAAATTATAAGTTTTTTATTGCTCATAATTGCCATGTTTTTTTTTATTGCATTCAACCCTATACAAGGTATGATTAATATTTTTTTCAGTAAGGATTCAAATTTTAATTTGCCACATTGCGAGGTACAACTCCTTCTGCTAAATTCAAATGCAGTAGTGGTCTAATTATAATTATTATTGTTGCTGTTGTTGATTATATGGATTCTAGAGTCTTTTTGATCAATTTCATCCAATTAATCCTTTTCTATAATTATGTTCAAATTTCATAAAATTATTGTCTCCCTTTTCTATTGCATATAATCTTAAAAATTTTGATTATATCCTAGAAAATGATGTATATAACATTTTAAAGTGGTTTGATATACATTATTATAAATTGTATTAATCTCAATTATAGTGTTCAAGCTCTGAGCAAGAAGATTTATGTTGAAGAGTAACAAGGTTATTTTCATGTAAATAATCCCTTCAGTTCTTAATATAAAGTAAAATTAACCAACTTGGTACTAATTAAAAAAATGTTAGTTACATTCTTAAAGTTAAATAAAAATATGTTAACTTCTTAATTTTATCCTTCTTCATGATGAACAATTATAAATTTTTGTCTTAGAATTTAAACCATAACAAATAAACAAGAATAAAATTGAAATCTAAAATCAATTACTTTAACTTTACTTTATATTAAGAATAAAAAGATATTTTAAAATTTGTATTATATTAAGAACTGGAGGAGTGATAATTTAGGAAAGTGAGAAAAATTCTCAGAAGCTAATGACTCTATAAAAGTTGAGTGAGTTCCTCAACTAGCCCTTAATTAACATCTTATTTACAGTTACAAGCTAATCTTTATAGCCTATGCAGTATACAGCATCAATCTAGCACATAACCTAATGATATCTTGAAATGGGTGCACTTGCTATTTGTATTATCTAATTTGTAATTGCATTTTTTTAAAGCTTCAATGATATTTATAATTAGGCCAAGAAAGTACTAGATAAAACGAAATGACAATTGTTTGCCTAATATAAAGTGTCAAATAACTTGAGTCCAAAATTTGATAATTGAAGAGATCAACATAAAAATAAGAGAGAATAACAACAAAGTTCTATAAAAATAAACAAATTAATAATAATTACGTGTTTGACAAAATTTTTGAAAAAATAAGTTGCAAATATAAATATAGAAAGTTACAAAGAAAAATCTTGATTGCAAACTAAGAGTTACAGTTAGAATTTAAATATATTATTTGCAATTAAAATTCTTAGATTTATAATTATTTAAATTTAAATTTATAATTTATTTTAAACAATTTTATCATGAAACTTGCTGGGATTAATTCTTTCTTTTAAAACTTAATTTTCTTTATCTCTGGATATATATAACATCCAAAGTCATTATAGTTACATACTAAAAAGTACAAAACAAGAGTACATATACTATTGCAAACCCTAGTCAACATGGTTTAACTTTCCATTATTTAATTTGGGAACCAATAATTAACATAACATTCCAACTATTCATATTGGCTTCACCATAGACAATTAGTCCAAGTCCCTTCCCCTGCACCTCATTCAACCATGAAGATGTTCTGTTCGCCTTAGTTTCTCCTGCAATATGTAAAAATAAATAAATAAATAAATAAACAAACATATTCATAATTACATTTTGCAAAACATATACTCCCTCTTTTAAAAAATTGTAAGTTATTTTTAATGAAATCTCACCTTCAATAAATTAATTAATTATTTTTAAACTAATACTAATTTTTTATATTTACCTTTATTTAATAGATTATTTTAATTAAAAATAAATACAAAATAACTTATTTATTAAAGACAGTCTTGAAAACATAGCTATTAATTATATCTTGAAACAGTAAAAATAATTTAATTTTTTTTAAGAGAAGGAGAGCATAGAGAAGCTACAAATAAAAATTAACAGAATAGAGGCATTAACTTGTGTCAATTACTTAAACACCCTTGATAGTGTTAGACTATAAATTGTTCTTTGAAGGCTAAGAATATTATTTGTTAGTTTTATGGACTAATCTCTCTTGTAGTATAAAGGGTAAAAAGATTTGTCTTTATTTGCCCACACAAAATATTACATAATGAAATCCCATTTTTAATAATTTGTTTAAAGGATGATAAACTGAGGTGGACCAACCAGAGAGACTTTGGAGACAATTGTCCCCACAAAAGAGAAAAGGAAGCTACAGGGAAAACTTCATGACGTGAAAATGACTGCTCATCATTCCCTTCTCTTACATTAATTATTAAAATAAAGTTTATAAAACCTACAAAATGTAGTGAATTTTTTTAAGCTTCACAAAAAGAATCATGGTCTCTAAGAAATAGTGATGACATATTCTTTAATTTTTAAGTTTTACACTTGCATGAACTAAAATTATTTTTGACAAAACTTTATGATAAACTAGGAAATACTTTATTTAATTATTTATTTTTAAAAAAATTCAATATTAATTTCACTACAATGAAAAATTAATAATTAAATTTTATTTGATAAGAAATAAAAGGATATAAATGACTATCAGAGTTAATTTCAACCAAGCAAAGACTAATATTCTTCAAATTTAAGTATGAAGGACAAGAGATAAACTATTCCTAATAATGATAATGTTTAATATAACTAACTGTGTCTTTTAACAATTACACACACACATAATGAGCAAAATAATAGTGTGCGTTCACTATATTTTGTTTCCCATTGGATAAAGAGCAGCCGTGATCATGTCATCATAACCATCATTAAGCTGATTTAACCAATTAATGATAATTAAAAAATACATAGGCTTGGACATTAAATAGAAGATCTAGCTAACACACATATAATTAAAAATAACATTATTAATGAAGTACTATGTTTGCAGAAGCCAAAGGCATGAATAGATATAAACTAATAAGTCGCACTAAATGGTTAGACTAATTAATGCTACAAGCGCAAAAGCTAAGAACAAAAATGAGGAGATGCAAAATTACTACCAGATAACCTCTAAGCCACCTATTGCACTTTGTCGCATTCAACGTGACCTTAACACAAATAGTGTCAATCAAATTGTTCACAAATCTAAGTAAGCATGTCTCCAAGAGCGATTGAAAAGTATTGAACCAAAAATCCCCTAAAATCCAATAATGAATCCAAATGTCATGCTCCAATAAAACTCTTTAGTCATTATGATGTCCTTGTCTTCTTGAAATTTAATAAGCTCTTTAGGTTTTCTTGTTTTAGGGCACATTTTCTCAAGCGGTTTTCCACAAAGGTCAAGATTTCCTTCATAACTTGAGCTATCAAAACTCTGCAACTGTGTGCTAATTGGAATTTTCCTAGAAAGATTGTTATACGACAAATCCAACACTGCAAGACGATCAATTTGAGCAAGGCTTGATGGAATTTGTCCAGAGAAATGGTTCCTTGACAAATCAAGAAAATCTAATGATGTTAATTGTCCAATCTCATATGGAATTTCTCCTTCTAATTGGTTTCTTGATAAGTTTAAAGCAACTACTTCAACTAAAACTCCCAATTCTATTGAAATTTTTCCAATTAATAGGTTACTTGAAAGATCAATGCCTTTTAAAAATAACTTATGCATAAAAGGTCTTTCAACACCTTTCCACATCAATAAGGCATTTAACTCACAAGAAATGTCCAACACTTCGATATTACCAATCTGCAAATATCTATCCCCTAGATATGAAGAACTCTCTTGTGCCATCACTGTAAAGTTTTTGAAGCATTTTGGTATTTGTCCAGATAGATTGTTCAAGGAGATATCAAGGAAACGAATTCTTGACAAATAACAAAGATGTGTTGATAATCTTTCAAAGAAGTTATTGCTTCGTAAGATTAAGAATTCCAACTTATGTAATTCAATCCCAATCCATGAAGGAATTGGTCCTCGTAATCTATTTTGTCCCACATCAAGCATTAGTAAATTGGAGCAACTTCTCAAGGTAATGGGCAAATCTTCTGTAAACTTGTTGTTTCTCAATATCAATATTTGAAGACTTTCTAAATAACCAATAGAACTAGGAATTGCTCCAGACAAATTATTATTACTCAAGTCTAAAAGGACTAATGATTTGAAATGACTCCAACAATCAGGAAGTTGTCCAGATAATTGATTATTGGAAATAGGGGTGTTCACGGGACGGGACGGGACCGGGACACCCCCGTCCAGTGTCCCGTCCCGAAAAAAAGATCGGGACTGAATTTTGGTCCCGTGTCCCGTCCCGTCCCGAAAGTCATCCCGTCCTGTTAAGAGTCGGGACGGGATCGGGACAAGATCGAGACGTCCCGCCGTCCTGATAAATGAAATAATATCGAAAAAAGATCTGGATAATAATGTTTATTAAAATTTTAAATT